TGTCTTATCATTATCAAGTAATTGTAATGAATAACTAAACCGAGGCTTATATACATATTGTCTACACTTGGAGAGACTAATGAGATGATCTCTGCGATCTGAGCACGAGATTTAAATAGTGAATTAATTAATAATAATACCCCACGAGGCGGACAATATGGAGGAACTGGTTATGAGCAAAGATACGAACGTTTACAGTGAGTCTCGATATACTGCAAACACACCGCTCCAATTTGCTGTTCTGAATTGCGAGATAGAAACTGTAAAAAGCATCATTAAAAGAGGTGCTCATGTGAATGCTACAAATGTACATGGAGAAACGGCACTGCACCTAGCCATTCATGAGGGATACAAAGATATCGTACAAATCCTCGTAGAACATGGTGCCGATGTCAATTTGAAAACTCGGTGGAACGAGACACCGCTTCATTTTGCAGGGGAACAAGGACTAGAAGAAACTTGCAGGTTGCTACTCGAAAGAGGAGCTGACGTGAATGCCCAAATCAACCAAGGTCAAACGGCACTGCACCTAGCCATTGGGCAGGAACACAAAGATATCGCACAAATCCTCGTAGAACATGGTGCCGATGTCAATTTGAAAACTCGGTGGAACGAGACACCGCTTCATTATGCAATGGAACGAGGACTAGAAGAAACTTGCAGGTTGCTACTCGAAAGAGGAGCTGACGTGCATGCCCAAATCCTCGTAGATCAGGGTGCCTATGTCAACTTGAAAACTTCAATGGGCGAGACACCTCTTCATTTGGCTGCGCAAAAAGGACTAGAAGAAACTTGCAGGTTGCTACTCGAAAAAGGAGCTGACGTGCACGCCGAAAACAACAATGGTCAAACGGCAATGCACCTAGCCATTCGGGAGGGATACAAAGATATCGTACAAATCCTCGTAGAACATGATGCCGATGTCAATTTGAAAACTGAGTGGGACGAGACACCTCTTCATTTTGCTACGCGAGAAGGACTAGAAGAAACTTGCAGGTTGCTACTCGAAAGAGGAGCTGACGTGGATGCCCAAAACAAATATGGTCAAACGGCACTGCACCTAGCCATTCGGGAGGGACACAAAGATATCGTACAAATCCTCGTAGATCAGGGTGCCGATGTCAATTTGAAAACTGAGTGGAACGAGACACCGCTTGATTATGCATTGGAACAAGGACTAGACGAAACTTGCAGGTTGCTACTCGAAAGAGGAGCTGACGTGCATGCCCAAATCCTCGTAGATCAGGGTGCCGATGTCAACTTGAAAACTTCAATGGGCGAGACAACTCTTCATTTGGCTGCGCAAAAAGGACTAGAAGAAACTTGCAGGTTGCTACTCGAAAGAGGAGCTGACGTGCACGCTGAAAACAACAATGGTCAAACGGCAATGCACCTAGCCATTCGGGAGGGATACAAAGATATCGTACAAATCCTCGTAGCACATGGTGCCGATGCCAATTTGAAAACTGAGTGGGCCGCGATTCATTTTGCTGCGCGAGAAGGACTAGAAGAAACTTGCAGGTTGCTACTCGAAAGAGGAGCTGACGTGGATGCCCAAAACGAACGTAGTGAAACGGCACTGTACGTAGCCATTCGGAAGGGACACAAAGATATCGTACAAATCCTCGTAGATCAGGGTGCCGATGTAAATTTGAAAACTGAGTGGGACGAGACACCGCTTCATTGTGCAGGGGAACGAGGTCTAGAAGAAACTTGCAGGTTGCTACTCGAAAGAGGAGCTGACGTGGGTGCCCGAAACAAAGATGGTCAAACGGCACTGCACCTAGCCATTCGGGGGGGACACAAAGATATCGTACAAATCCTCGTAGATCAGGGTGCCGATGTCAATTCGAAAAATCGGTGGAACGAGACACCGCTTCATTATGCAATGGTAGGAGGACTAGAAGAAACTTGCAGGTTGCTACTCGAAAGAGGAGCTGACGTGCACGCCAAAAACAGAAATAGAGAAACGGCACTGCACCTAGCCATTCAGTTGAGTTGCGAAGATATCGTACAAGTCCTCGTAGAACATGGTGCCGACGTCAATGTGAAAAATAAGCAAGGCCAGACACCGCTCCATTTTGCCGCTCAGCGTGGTCAAATACGTATCATGGAAATTCTCTTGAATTCGAACGTTAACATCGATTCCATAAATGAGAATGGTGACACTGCACTTCATCTGGCATCCTGCGCCAATCAGTATGAAGCCGTTTTGACTCTCATAGAAAACGCGGCCGACGTAAACATTATTAACAAAGACCAGCAAACAGCGTTAAACTTATACTGTTTTACGAATAGACATATGGAGCGCTTCACGTTTCCCGATAGTATCCAGCAGTTGCTAATTAAAATGCAGATTGCTAACTTGGACGTGAATAACGGAAATGTGGAGATATTTAATATCACTACGAATACGAACGAGCAATCTCTAAAATTTCAGAAAAAATGTGTTGAAGAGAGAATGAGAATGAAAAACACAAAAATTAACGATACTATCCTAACATTTCATGATATCCTAACAAAACGCGTAGACCAAATAGCATTATACGCGAGAAATGAAGATGTTGTTCAGGTTTTGAAACGGAGCAATTATCGGAGAGAATTTCCTATCTACGAAGACATAATAGAACGTCGTTTCAATAGAGGTATGGTACAAAAGGAGTTGTTAGACGAGGGCGTTACATTTTTCCGCCGTTTCCTCGGTGGATATTGTGATTTACTTTGTATTCAACGAATATTAAAGTACCTCAATAATAGGGACCTAATGAATTTGAGAGATGTTTGTAAAAACGTATGTCCTAACATTGACGATGCAACTAAACGGGAAACACTGTAATACTATTTACTATTTTTATAC